GAGATGAGCTGAGTGTGCTGTGGACTGCAGAGTCAGAGCAGTGGAGCTGCCAGTACCCTTTGGAGCCAGAAGATCGTGAGTGAATCCCAGATGTCCAGCCTTGACCTAATTTGCTGGACTTTGGTTTTGCTTAGGTGTGCCCGATTCTTCCCTTTGAAATACGACAGTACTTGTTTTGGATATTACAGAAATCCACAGACTTTTAGAAGAGACTATAGACTTTAAAGTATGTAGATTTTTTAAAGGACTGTAGGGATTTTAAGGTTGTATTGTCTTATGTTGTGATAGTAATGTTAGCATCATATCTTGGGGACAAGAATTGGAAAAGTTATGATATAATAGTGATATGTTTGTGTGTCAAGTTGACAAGGGGTCAATTGTGCTGGATAGCTTTAGTGTCAACTTGACACACCTGGGTTGAGGGAGCCTCAATCAGGGAATTGCCTCTATTGGACTGGCCTGTGGCCATGTCTGAAGGGCATCTTCTTGATGAGTGATGTGGGAGGGCCCAGCCCCCTGTGGGTGGTGCCACCCCTGGACAGGTGGGCCTGTGTTGCATAAGAAAGCAGGCTGAGCAGGGGCCAGGGGAACAAGCTAGTAAACAGCGTTCCTCCATGGCCTGTGCTCCAGCTCCTGCCTCCAGGTTCCTGCCCTGAGCTCCTGTCTTGAGCTCCCTGATGAACTGTGGTATGACCCTGAGATGTAAGATAAAATAAACCCTTTCTTCCTCTAGTTGGTATTGGTCAGAGTATTTTGTCACAGCAATGGAGAAACAAACCAGAACAGTTCTCTAACCACTGATGGGAGGGCTCTCCTTGCCGTTGTCTGAACCTCTGATCACCCCTTTGTGGCCAGCTTGAGAGATGCCCTGCTTTTTATAAGATCACGTGACAGCACCAGGCCCTTCTGGTTAGTGTCCCTTAACTTGGACAGGTCAGCTGTGCCATCCAACATAACATTATCATGGATATCAATCCACGATGTTCACTGTGGCAGTGATGTGTATGCTGGAGGATGTGGACATCAGAGGTGGGATCTGCCACTGTCTCAGATCCCACCAATAATGTAGATTAAAACTTGATTCTGTATCCTGTTTCCATGGAGTCACAGTTAGTTGGACTAACTGGGGTGGGTGGTAGTCTTGAGATACAATCCTGGCTCTGCTCTCCAGTGGCTGATACCCTTGAAGAAGCAGCTTGACTGTGATAATGATGATGATGGTGGTGATGGTGGTGGTGATGATGGTGATGGTGGTGGTGATGGTGATGATGGTGGTGATGATGGTGGTGATGGTGACGATGATGGTGATGGTGGTGGTGATGGTGATGATGGTGGTGGTGGTGATGATGGTGGTGATGGTGGTGGTGGTGATGATGATGGTAGTGATGATGATGGTGATGATGGTGATGATGGTGATGCTAATGATGGTGACGATGATGGTGGTGATGATGGTGATGATGGTGGTGATGGTGATGGTAATTGGTGGTGACAATGGTGGTGGTGATGATGGTGATGATGATGGTGGACATGATGATGGTGGTGGTGATGGTGATGATGGTGGTGGTGGTGATGATAGTGATGATGGTGATGATGGTGGTGATTGTGACGATGATGGTGATGGTGGTGATGATGGTGATGATGGTGATGATGGTGGTGATGATGGTGATGATGGTGATGATGGTGGTGATGATGGTGATGATGGTGATGATGGTGGTGATGATGGTGATGATGGTGATGATGGTGGTGATGATGGTGATGATGGTGATGATGGTGGTGATGATGGTGATGATGGTGATGATGGTGGTGATGATGGTGATGATGGTGATGATGGTGGTGATGATGGTGATGATGGTGATGATGGTGGTGATGATGGTGATGATGGTGATGATGGTGGTGATGATGGTGATGATGGTGATGATGGTGGTGATGATGGTGATGATGGTGATGATGGTGGTGATGATGGTGATGATGGTGATGATGGTGGTGATGATGGTGATGATGGTGATGATGGTGGTGATGATGGTGATGATGGTGATGATGGTGGTGATGATGGTGATGATGGTGATGATGGTGGTGATGATGGTGATGATGGTGATGATGGTGGTGATGATGGTGATGATGGTGATGATGGTGGTGATGATGGTGATGATGGTGATGATGGTGGTGATGATGGTGATGATGGTGATGATGGTGGTGATGATGGTGATGATGGTGATGATGGTGGTGATGATGGTGATGATGGTGATGATGGTGGTGATGATGGTGATGATGGTGATGATGGTGGTGATGATGGTGATGATGGTGATGATGGTGGTGATGATGGTGATGATGGTGATGATGGTGGTGATTGTGACAATGATGGTGATGGTGGTGATGATGGTGGTGATGGTGGAATGATGGTGGTGGTGATGATGGTGGTGGTGATGATGGTGGTGATGGTGGTGATGGTGGCGATGAGGGTGATGGTGATGATGGAGATGAAGATGATGATGGTGATGATGGACGTGATGGTGACGATGATGCCGAGTATGGTGATGGTGATGATGGAAATGATGGTGAGATGAGGATCATGATGATAGTGATGATGGTGATGATGATGATGATGGTGGTCGTGATGATTTCTGCTGTAGGCCTCATGCTAGCTGATGAGGTTCTTGACCCTTTGGGACCTGGTAACACATTCCTGAAGGTTTGTATTGGTTAGTCATGGATATTGAGTCAGAGTGATGGTGATGATGGTGGTGATGGTGATGATGATGGTGGTGGTGATGATGGTGGTGATGGTGCTGATGGAGGTGATGGTGATGATGGTGGCAGTGATGGTGATAGAGTGAACATGGTACTCTCATCACTATCATCATCACTTTCACCACCACCACCACCATCAGCACCACCACCATCACCACTATGACCATTGTCACCATCATTACCACCATCACCATCACAACTGTGAGCTGGCACTTTGAACATAGAAGACAGATTTAGATTTCTATGCCCCCTCTCAGCCGTCCCAGTTGGGTTGCTGGGGGGTCACACATCAACCCAAGGGGATGAGCTCTGCTATTCTAAGTGAGGCTATGTTGGGGCTGAGTCTCAGGAGATGTGTATGACTGTGGGATGGTCAAGGCACAGCATGGTACCATCCCTTCTCTCTGCCCCTAGCAGGGGCTTTGGAGAGGAGCTATGAACAGGCCTGCTGGGGTCTGGGGCCAGCACCACCTTTCTCTAGTTGGGCGACTCAGCTGGGCCTCCTCTCTCTTGGCCTCTGATCCCATCTCTAAAATGGGGACATGCTGAGACATCCATCAGACTCTGCTGTCATGCAGTCACTTGGGCCTGCTCTGAGCAGCCAGTAGGTAGTGCTGATGGGCAAGTGGGAAGGAAAGGGGGCCCAGAAGGAAGCAGGATCATGGGGGCAACCCAATGGGGCAAGGGAGGCCTGGCAAGATTCTCTGGAGAGAGGATCCCACATCCCCCTTGGGCAAGCAGGCAGGTGTCCGCAGACCTCTCCAGCACAGAAGGGCCATATCCCCCTGTGGCCCTTCCCTGAATGGGGTCGGAATGCCCCTCTCTGCCTTCACATTGGATTTGTCCCAGAGTCTCACCCTCCATCCCTCCACCATTTCTGCCCAAGTGACCAGCTTATTGGAAGCCCATCTCCTACCCTCCTCCATCCCTTCCACTCAGCAACTGGAGGAAGCTTCTAGAGAGGAAAATGGGGCATTGTCCCAGCCATACCCGGGGTCCCCAGCCCTTGGGGTAAAGCCCAAGGCCTTGACAGGCCTGTGAGGCCCACAATGCCCTGCAGAGCTGGGGCTGGTCAAGGGATGCAGCGCCACCTCTGGTTGTGGATAGTAACTGCAGCTTCCTCACTCTCCTGGGCTCTTCCAACTTTTCTTCCCTGAAGTCTCCCTTGGAGCGGACCCTTGTCTACCGACCTTGACAGGTGAGGTCTGGGTCCCTCAGCCTCCTCACCTGCCATGGGAACAGCAGAGGTTACCTTGGTCACACACCTGCTGCCGCTGCAGGGCCCCTGGGATACAGGAAGCTCTTAGGAAGGTTCTGGAAAGGTTATAGTTGCAGTGCAGGAAGGCTGTGACGGGTGAATAAATGCTTTCTCACCTCCGTGGCTCCAAGGTCACTGAGGGACATTGGCAGAGAAGGGCCCCACCTGAGTTGGGGACTACCAGCTCACCCAGGTCAAGCCTTAAGATCAGAGCATACCTGGTCTGTGACCTCTGTCCTGGCCTTAACACTGGAGGAAGAAATGTGGGTGTGGAAGACAGCCCAGCCTGCCAGGACTCCCCATCCACAGGAAGCCCCGCCCGTCAGAAGGCTCCACCCATCGAGAGGCCATGCCCCCCAGCAAGTCCCACTCACCTGTGTTCCCTTCCTTCCTGTAGCTCGGTAACTCACCCCACACAAAAGAGAGAGCCTGTCAGAGACCGTGTGGCCAGACCTGAAGCTGGGCATCCAGGAGTCTCTCCCTTGAAGCTGTGACTCCTCCCACCCTACCCAGAGGGAGGGAGGGAATGAGGGAGGGAGGGAGAGAAGGAATAGTCCCCACATTGGAGCTGGTACATCCTTAGCCTGAGTCTCTCCCTTGAAGCTGTGACTCTTCCCACCCTACCCAGAGGGAGGGAGGGAGGGAGGGAGGGAGGTTGGGAGGGAATGAATAGTCCCCACATTGGAGCTGGTACATCCTCAGCCTGTCCTGACCAACCTGCACCTGTCCTGTCCAGAGGTCACACCTCCCAAGGCACAGACAGCTGCCAACTGCCCAGCTGTGTGCTTCCTTGTGGGGGGCACTGCATCAGGGTGGCACACCCAACTCAGTCCACCTCTGTCCCCGCCCCTGCCACCATCTGGGGACTAAGGCAGAAATCTCCCAGGCTGAGGGAATCAGCATCTCCCTCATGCTCCCGTGGCTCGTACTCTGTGGCAGAGCTGTGGTCAAGCTTGTGTCTGTCTCTTCCTGGCCTGGCCTGGCCTGGCCTGGCCTGGGACGCCTTCCAGCCAGCAAGACAACAGGTCAGTACACAGTCACAGTCAGATTACAAACAGCAAGTGGTGACAGCAGTGTCAGGGGGACAGAGGGAGGGGAGGCGTCCAGGTAGGTGCAGCCTTGGCTAGGAAGGAAAAGATGGGATAAACCACTGGCCAGGCCACCAGGGAGGTGCTGGGGAACTGCATGTAGCCTGGAGAGCACAGTTCCGTGGCTCTGGTTGTGGCTTCTGTAACGTGCCCAGGCTGTGGAAGAGAAGTTGGGGAACCATTATCTGGGGTGGGGTGTGCAGGAAGCATCAGATCTGGATAGAATCTGGGTGGAAAACTATACAATCACCCATGAACACTCGGCAGGGACTGGCCATCGCCGAGAGCACACAGCCCAGCCCTTCCCAGCCCTGACTCCCACTGTCCAGCCTCATGCTCATGGGCCCTGCTGAGCACCGACCCTGAGGGCTGGAGGACTGACCAGGCTGGGTGGGCCACTGTACGCCCATCTCGTCAGGCTTCCTGTTTTAGAACATTCCACAGGTTCTTTGCCCCTAGAAGTCCAGCAGCTTTCCCCAAGTCCAAGTTCCTTTCTCTGCTGCCCCAGCCTGGCTCCTTCCCATCTCTTCCTTGGGCTCTCTAATTTCCACTTGATTTCCACACGTGCAGGCATGAGCCAGGTGCTGGGAATGTCCCCCAGCTGAGACCCTCTTAGAAGTTCCTCAGCTGGCCACAGGCCCAGAGGACAGCCAATCAGTCTCTGATTCTGGCCTGTTGGTGGTAGTCCCTGGAGAACTTAGTGGAATTGGGCCTTTGAGACAGAAACCAAGAGGCAAGTGCGCTGCAATCCATTAGTGATGTCTGCTAGGTATGCAGGAGAGGGAGCCAGACCCTGTGCTGTCTCTCTGTGGATCATCATCACCTAGCTAGGCCTCTAATGTGCTCCAGATACTCTGGAGGCCATTTAGGGAAGCCTGATCCTGAGAAGGTAGACTCTGCCTGACGTCTCAACTTGTCCGATCGTCTGGTCCACAGTCTGGTTTTCTGTGATGTTGACCTATAGCACTCAGTCCCCTCTTTCCCTTGGCTGCTGGGAAGCTCAGCACCGAGCTTCAGGCTTGCTTTTGGATACTACATTAGCCCCAGACACGAGCATTTCTGTCATCTGCTCCTGTGGGCTCCTTGGCCTCCGGCACTGCATCCCGTGGAGCAAGCCGGACGCAAGTTATCAACTATAAATAAAACCAAAGCTTCCGCCCTGGCTTGCATTTGAGTTTCCTGGTGAATTTTTTTAAGTCTCTAATCAACGAAGTGGTGGTGGTGGTGGGGACTCCTAACGGAAGATGACATCACCATCAGCTGGCACGAAAAGCAGGCCCCAGACCTGCAGGCGCGGGTGGACCCTGAATACCCCCATTGTGAAAGCTAACTTCATCACACGAGGTCCAGCGCGGTGGAATTTTAAATGGGGGTTCTGTGGTTTATGCCTCTCGAAGCGGCGCACACAGGCAGCTGTGGTTGCCTTGCTTCCTCTCAGGCTACAGCCCTGGCACGTGGCCAGCACAGTGACTACCCCTTCCACCCTGAGTCACCATCATGCTAAACTCTGATTCAGGTCCCTTTAAAGGGACAGCAGAGCCGACTTGTCCAGGGCCAGGAGAGGACAGCCGGTCAGGGGAAGAGCCTCCAGGGAGGGGGGCTGAAATGAGAGGAAGTCTGGGGTGCTTGGCAGCCGCCTGGCAGCCGCCCATCCCCTCGCCCCAGGATGGAGGGGGTTTCCTGTCTCCCGAAGGCCAGAGGAGCTCCAAAGCACACAGTGACCCTCCTTTCTGCCCCGCCGGGACAGGCAGGTGGAGGCTTGGTGCCCCTTGGTCTGTGTCCTGCTTGACCCTCGTTCTCACCCTCCTGTCCCCTGCTGGCTGATTGTCTAGAGCATCCTCATCGGAGTGGCTTCTGTCACCTGAAACAGATCCCGCTGCCTTCTGATCAGTGTGTGACCCTGTCTTCTGCGAGGCTGTCACCTCCTCCCCGTGTTGGGCTGCCCCGTGTTGCAGTTCCAACAGTAACTCTGGGCCCTGCACTGCAGACTCGGGCACCATGAGGGAAGAGAAGTTGCCCGGCTGGGCCACGGCTGGCACCTGGGTCATCGATTGAAGGAATAAATGGGGTGCTGGCTGCAAAGACACCCAGAAGCCCTCACCAAGGGCCTCAGACAGGAAGGAGGGGTGGGCAGCATTTCCCTGGCCAGATGGAGCTGGAGGGGTGGCAGACTGAGTGCAGTGGACAGGTCATGGTGGCATGGTCCCTCCCAGGTCCAGGGCTCCTGGGGCTAGGCCTGCAAGTCCAGCCTCATGAAAGCAAAGAATGTCTTTCCCCTCCCTTCTGTATGACTCACACTTTCATTTTGAAGTTCCTCTCTGTCCATCCCCTGGGGTTAGGCAGTGGCCAGGCCAGAGCAGCAGGGCGTGGTCAGCTGCAGGAAGCCAGGATGAAGTTTCATTCACAAAAGGAAAAAAAAAAAAAAGGAGCCATGGGGCTGGGGCTGGGGAGGTGACTCAGTGGGGAAAGTGCTTGCCCTGTTAGCATGAGGGCTTGAGTTTAGATCCCTAACTCTCAAGTAAAAGCTGGTTGTAGTCACCGGACTCTAACCCCAGCACAGGGTGGGCAGGCAGAGAGAGGTGCACCTGGGAGCTTGCTGCTCAGACAGTCTAGCCATTTGGTGAGCTGAGGGTTGGGGTGGGGATAGAAGCTCACTAGCCAGGTAGTCATCAGTGAGCTCCAGGTTCAGTTGAGAGACAGTGACCTCTGGTCTCCCATGAATTCATGCACACATGTACATGTGCACACAGAAACATACCATGCACACACACACACAAACAGACATACACCATGCACACACACACACACTCCACACAGACACACCATGTACATACACACACACAGACACACACATAGGCACATACACAGATGCATACACACACACATAGACACACAACTCTATGGCTGATTTCTGCATCCTGTTGGGGTTCTCCTGCCCCCAGCCCAGTTCCTGGTACCTGGGTGTTGTGGGACATAAGGGGCCCACGTGTGTATATCCACAAATCCAGAGCCCAACCATTTAGGTCTCTTCCTTCAGCCTTCTACCCCTGTTTCCCATGATTCTTCCTGGCTGGCCCTCCACAGGGGACCATAACAAGAACAGGAACTGGACTTAGACTGCATGGTCCCATCCTGGCCCCATTGACTAGCCCATGCTCTCACACAGAGCTGGGAGGCCAGGGACTGAGATGGGGCAGCCAGCCTCCTGCCCAATGTGCCCAGCTTTCTTTGTGGCCTGTGCCTGTCTGGCTGGGGGGCTGGAGGAGTGGGAGGATAAGGGGGTGGGCAAACTGGAGGCACCAGGGTATAGAATTCAGCAGAGCCAATGTCTCCTCCTGGAAGTAGCTTCTCAACTGTCTCAGGAGCCCTGGATAGCATCACCATCGCTAGACCCTCATTAACCTGGCTTCATGGTGGCTCTGGGGTCATCAGTGACTTCCTTGGGGTTCTGCCCTCCGGAGCTACTGGCCCCATCGGGGAAACAGCACCTGACAACAAACAAGCTGAATAATTCAGGCCTCATCAGGAGAGGCTCCGAGAGGGTGATCTGGGAAGACCCTCTGGAGGAGGGTGCATCCAAGTAGATCTGCGGGGGGCGGGGGAATGAGGAGACATCAACTGGGGAGAAGAAGAAAGAGGCTGAGTTGAGGGTCTTGGTGTATGCAGGGCTCAAATGCATGTGAGAACATGGGGTATTAGAGACCTGAGGCCATCTGGGATGGAATCCCGGAACCATGGGGACAGCTCCTGAGAGGAGGAGAGATGAGCTGGGGCTGGGCCGTGTGCAGGGGGAGCCAGGGCTGGACTGAGCACAGGTGGCTGGTGAATGGATGGTTGGTGCAGGCTTTGCTTGCTTCAAGACGGGCTCCCTGAGGTGTCCTTGGACCAGGGAAGAGGTAGGGCTGTCTGGGCAGGGGCCTGGCAGGGAGATAAAGCCACCCTTCTACCAAGATCCTGGAAAGCTGGGGGTCTGCTCAGGACTGCCTGCTATCGACAGGGCGGACAGGGCTGGTAGGGCTCGGGTTTTCTTGTGAACATTATTGGAGGGAATGGAAAACTTCACCTTGGTCCATCTAGGCAGTTTGAGCCAGGTGTGTGTGTGTGTGTGTGTGTGTGTGTGTGTGTGTGTGTGTTGTAGTGGTCTGTCTTAGTCCTGAACTTGTAATAGAACCTGAGCCTGGTCCTTTCCTGTGAAGCAGCAGCCGTGGACAGGCAGATCTGGAGACATCACAAAAACTCCCTGGATCTAGTCCCTCTGTCCCAGGCTCTGGGACTCAGGATACCAGCACGGCGACATTGAGCAGCCATGGGGGTCTCCTGTGGGCTTGCTCATTT